ATAATAATAATAATAATAATGCATTTCACAATTTTTATTAGGCTACCCCAAGAGACCTTAAAAAAGACTTTTTCTTTCAACGGTAGACTCTGATTTTTAAAAACTTGAATTTATGAATTATACTTTGTCTAGATCTTGTAGATATCTAGATCTAGACCTAGAGTCTAGATCTAGATATATAGAATAGATGTAGATCTAGACCTAGATCTAGATCTATATAATTAGATAATATAAAACTATAGCATCAATAAACGACAAAAGTAAACATGATTAACAGTGTTGAATTTTGTTTTTGTTTGTTTGTTTGTTTGTTTGTTTATTTTATGACAAAAACCTGCTCACACTCACAAAAATAATAGAATCTAGATCTAGATATAGATCTAGATATAGATCTATCTAGATCTATACTCTATATCTAGATTATAGATCTAGATTATAGATCTAAATTTAATACAAGTTATTTATAGCCAACGATTGTAGATATAGATCTGCCCTCAAGTTAAATACAATGCAGACACTGATGAAGCAGATTAAGCTCACCTTTTAAAAATACTAACTGATAAATATGTTTTGGTGTGTCGATTCCTGAGCCTAAATTTTCTTCCGATAGGTAGGCCTACAATAGAGCTTATGGAGGCGGCCATTACAATTTAGTTTTGAATATTATCACTCACGTCATCAGTGCAATAATCTTGAGTGACTTCGTTAGAGAGTATAGAAAGTCAAACCAAGAAGGCGTTGATTGATCATTCAGTAGCCTAGTTTATCATAGTATGCCTATATAGCGGCTGTATATATAGCTATATTTTTATAATAAAGTGGGTGTTGTAGGCCTATATATTGTACATGTATTTCTTTAAAACCCTGTGGACACATGTCAGGGCTTTAGGCACTTACAAAACTTAGACCAATAGTTCCAAAATCAGACTACTCTATGCCCTCGTCATCTCCAACCATCAATAGGCTTGTGAATCATGGACCTTGACAGCAGAGCTGCAGAGGAAGATCCAAGCAGCCGAAATGAGATGCTTTAGACGACTCTTTGGCATCTCATACAATAACCATATTATCACAAGAGGAAGTGCCTCGATAATCGAGGTAGACTTTGTGCTGTTGAAGCTAGAGAGGTGAGCAGAGTAAGCCTGATTCCCTGTAAGGACTTCTCTGTTGACATCCACCCCTTGACGCTTATATGACCTTATGCAGTTGCTAGCGCCGTAAAACCTTTACTAAATCAATATAACACTAGCAAAGAGGGATAATAACTTAGGGCTGCTTAAGAATATATTACATTGAATTACTTACCTTGTATTACTTAAATGTAACGGTCACTTTTCTGTGGGGAAAGAGTAATACGAAAGATTTTCTTCTGCACAATCTTTAGTAATACATGTCGTGTGTTATTATTATTAACAATTATCTTAGAAGTCCCAAAGTTGGTGGTCTTTGATGATCTTGGTTAATAAGAAGTGAGCATGGTTCTCAAGAGTTGAGAGAAAAAGAGAGTTAAAGTGGCAGACAGACAGATATTACAGAGAGAGAGAGAGAGAGAGAGAGAGAGAGAGAGAGAGAGAGAGAGAGAGAGAGAGAGAGAGAGAGAGAGAGAGAGAGAGAGGACGACTAGGGGAGGGAGGGACTGAGTGAGTGAAAGGATCACTCTTGGAATTATGTTCTTCGTATAATCCTAAAGTGCACTGAACACTTTCCTACGGGAAATGTGCTCTATAAATGTAATTTGTTATTATTATTATTATTACTATAAGAATAAGAATAAGAAGTATAAGAATACAAATGAGACAAATGAATAATAATGATAATAATAATAATATCTGACATGAATTAGAAATATGATTAAATTATACGTGCACACTATCACAAGAGGTGTTGACCTGAATTGGGCTGTGCCGTAGAACCAACTTTTTTTCGCGCGCTCATATGCCCTTATACAGTTGCAAGCGCCGTAAAACTCTTACTAAAACAAACACTATTACAAAATTGCTAGGCATATATATGTACTATGAAAAAACAAGAGTTGTTTGTTTCAGCCGGAACTTGGTCTACCTTACTTGTTTTCTAAAAAATTCAACTGACCGGAATCGTGCAATAGATCCGCTAAGATTTAACTTGACCATCCATCACAGGTAAGGACGTTGAACAACAGTGGCTGGAGCAGAAACAACTTAAATAAAACAATATAAAAATCCCTCACGAGTAAACACACTGCTTTTCTTATCTTTTGTTTTGTTTATTTTTTGTTTTGTTTTATTTTGGGTTTTTTAAATTTTATTTATTTTTCATATTTCTCTCTTTTGTTTTGTTTTGTTTTACTTGTTTCTTTTGTGTGTGTTTTTCTTTTAGCTAGATCTAAAGCCACTTGACATGAGTCAGTTTGTGACATTGAAAAGGCAGACATTTAACCTTCATTACGTTACGGGTTGGGCCTATAGCCCACTGACAAGCGAGATAAAAGATAAATATTGCACTTATCTACGACAGCTGAAGACACGGTTGAAAGTGATACACTCTAGAAAAGAGTTGAAGGACACTAAAATATTCGATGACTTGGATAAAATAAAAAGAAAGAAAAGAAGAAAATACCAGCCCCCCCCCCCAAAAAAAAAAAAACAACAAAAAAACAACAACAACAAAAAACAACACAAAAAACAACAAAAAATAAACAAACAACAACAACAACAAAAACCCAAAAACAAAACAAAGCAAAACAAAAACAAACCCAAACAAAAATAGACACACTTATATAAATAAAGAAACAAATATATGTAAAGAAAGAAAGAAACAAACAAACAAATTATATAGGTAAATGAATAAATAAATAAATATATGTAAATAAATAATTAAATAAATAAATAAATAAATAAATAAATAAATAAATAAATAAATAAATAAATAAATAAAAACATAAATAAAACAAAGGAACCGAAAGGCAAAACAGAAATAAAGCAATATATATATATAGATACAATGTATATATATATACGATATATATACGCATAATAAAAGAGTATTGTGTTGTATTGCAATCAGAGTTTTGCCGTAACAATTTTTTAAACGTAGGCATAGGAGCAGCTTTTCATCCTTGGGTTCCGGGGCTTACATTTGCCTGTCCTTCATTCATTCATTCATTCATTCATTCATTCATTCATTCATTCATTCATTCATTCATTCATTCATTCATGAAGACAATTATTTACTTATCTATATATTAATTTGTTTGTTTATTTTTTTATTTGTTTCGATGTTAATTCATAGATTTTTTTTTAATTCGGTGAATTTTTATTGATAGACTAACTGTTCAATTGGTGCATGTGTTCATTCATTATTAATTTTTCATTTATTTACTAATGCATACCCATTTTCATCTACTTAATTACCTATAAGTTCATTTAGCGCGCCTTAATGTTCCCTATATTAAGCCTATCGGCCTACATGTTACTTAAACATAATATTTCCTTGTGATTTTCTACGTCAAGAAAAAATTCTCTTCTTTCTATTTGGAATTTCATGCGAAATTGAAACGCACAACATTTTGTGTAAAATAGGCCTGCTACTTCCTAATTGCTAATCGATAACAAAAGAAAGGGTACGGCCAAGATAGTAGGCCTATAACGTTCAAAAATTACCATTTATATACCTACCAAGGAGGTTTTGTAAGGTCCTTCTATAGAGATGTATAGGGGGCTCGCGTGGCCCAGAGGTTAAGGTGTTGGTCTCTCATTCCAAGGTCCTGAGTTCGAATCTGGGTAGCAACCGAAAAATTTTCTTCTCTGAAATTGTCTCCATTCACCTCCTTTCCTGCTTTCTAGCAAAGTTATGTCCTCTGCCTTCGTTCATATGGCTTATTCAGTAGCGAGCGCCGTAAAACACTTACCATAAAAAAAGAAGAAAAAAAAGAGATGTATACAAACTCAACTCAGTGTGTAGTTGTTCACCAAAGTCACTTGAGTCACATCAAAGGTTTCATAAGTATCAATTGTTCTTTATTATCAATTTCGCAGTGTGGTACGAAATATTTGTGACATTTTCAAAGGAGATTACAAACATTTTATCAGTTAAATGACAGTGATAATAATATTTGAAATCATTCAAATGAAATGTGAGATTATAAAAACAGCAAATGAAAAAAAAGCACAGAAAGCACGAGAACAACGACAAAGGAAAAAAAAAAAAGAAGCCCACTCAGTCACATACTCGACATCACGTTAGTTGTCAGTACAAAAAATACAGAATCAAATAATCTAACAAAATCATGTTTGTGAACACCTATCGATGATAAAAACTCATCGGTGGTTCTCTAAACGACAATAATCATTAATCATTCCAATTCTAGGTGATTCCTAAAGAGCAAAACTTACATAAAGTGACACAAGGAGAAAAGAACAGACAGGTTAGACATCGACAAACGAACAGTCAACAACAAACCGGAAAATACACTGTAATTTCTTTAATTTTAACTTTGATTTCCTAAAGATTTTACATTAATTTTCTAAAGATTTTACATTAATTTCCTAAAGATTTTACATTAATTTCCTAAAGATGTTACATTCATTTCCTAAAGATTTTACATTAATTTCCTAAAGATTTTACATTAATTTCCAAAAGATTTTACCTTAATTTTGGAATGCATGAATAGAGCACGCATGTTGTGGTATTGTGGAGTAATGTTTGTTGTACCTGTTTCACAATATAGTGCTAGCCATGGCTGGTAAAGAAAAAGCAAGAAGCCAGACTACATATCAAAGAGTTTTAAAAAGAGTTAGATCTAGAGCCTACAAGACTAATTCTAAAAAAAAAAAAAATAAGGATAGCGAATTTCAGTACTCTCGGCATCTGTGAATCCTCAAACATATTGTAGATCTGATTAATTTTAGATAGATAGATAGATAGATAGATAGATAGATAGATAGATAGATAGATAGATAG